TATAAAGAATTATTGATAAATGTGTGGTGATATACTAATTAGCATATATCGTATTGGATGATAAGATTAAAGATTAAAAATTATCCAAACTCTTTTCTATATGAGTAGGATGCTATCATTGTATAGAATTGTATATATGCTTATTGTTTAGTAATGTACCCTAAATGAAATGCTTTTACCAATGTATACTAATAAACAATGCTTTATTAGCATAAGCTAATAAAAGGGCTAGTCTTTGTAATTGTCAAAGTAATCCTTGAAAGATGTAATAGATATAAATCCTACAGATAGAAAGAATGAGGATATTCCTCCTTTTCTTTTATTCTCTAGATTGATATATCTTCAAAATTCTTTTTTTTGTGGTGACATTTTTTTGGAAATAGCTTTATGCGTTAATTTTTGTGATTCGTAATTCCTAAATGATTATGCTATGCTAATATTGTTTAATTTTAATTAACCCAATGATTTAATTATCCAAATTTGAGGTGGAAATAGAAAAGAATTTGCAATTCATGCCACGTTACACAAGAAATTGATAAGATCAAAAGAAAATTTTTTCCACTTTACTATGGATCAAATGAAAATAATTACCTGAAATAACAAATCAAACGTAAATGATGAGCTGGAAATAGCAACAATAGATCAAATACGAATTTAAATTAGCACTATAGATCGAACGTGGGTTGCAATTAGCATTTGAATTGGAAATAGCATGATAGATTAAATGTAAATGATGAACTGAAAAACGGATTCCAGATTATTCAGGATCAGTTGACTTGTGAATTGTATTCATAATAGATCTATAGTCCTATTTAAGTATAATTAGGCTAATTCTGTTTGTATATGTTTAGTTAATGAAGAATTTTGCGCTTACTGAAGATGTGTTATTTTCAAAAAAATCCAAATATTTAAAAAATTTAAATAAAAAATTTAAATAATAAATAATCAATTATTTCTTCACTCCTTCTTTTCCACTTTTCTAGGCTGAGAAAGAATTAACAATTTCATAATTTTTTTTTCTGATGAAGAAACAAGAAAAAGGAATTTGTTAAAGTAAATTTATACAGTATAATTGAAATAATGAAATATAATTAAATAATCGAAATAGAAAAGTAGATTTGCAATCGTATTTCAGTACAATTAGGCTAATTACTTAAAATTGAAAAAATAAAATAATGCTTAGAATAATGTTTAAAATGGAAGCTACTCCCATATCAACGAATATCAATCATTAGATTAATATCAAATATTTTCAATTATCATTGTAATATCAGCAAATACTTATCAAAAAAAAAGACTGTTGATTTGTTTATTTTGATAAAAAAGAAAAAAAAGAACTACCAATCTATTTATTATCATTTAGATAATAAATGAATGAATAAAGTTTCAGCAATGATAATAATCTTATCAATGCAATTTTAAATTTCATATAAAGTTGTCAAAAAAAAAAAAGGAACGAACACGTTATAATGAAAAAAAAAAAACTGAACATGATAAAATAGCGAGAAATATTATTAAAAAAGTTTTTTAAAATTTTTTTTAAAAGAATGAAAATTTTTCTTTTATTTGAAAAAACGTTTTAAAGATTTTACAAAAAAAAAAAGGAAAAATTTTGAGAAGATTTTCACAAATATTCAGAAATGCCATCGATATGATTTTACATACACATATATATATATATATATAAGCATAAAAAAAAAGTTAAATAAGAAATGACAGTATAGCCCTTCCTTTTATTTTTTTTTTTTGCTCTGTAAACATTTGAATGATACGTGCATAAATATTGGAAATGGTACAAAATGTAATTTTAAAATGATGATTTAAGTGTTATGGAATGTATTATAGTTATGGCAAACAAACAATTTGCGCCATTTACTTTTTCAAACTTTTCAATGAATCAGTAAAATAATTTTAAAAAATTTATTTACAAAAAAAAAGAAAGAAGAAATGATAACATATTATTTGGCAAGTATTTATATAAGGATTAAAATATTTTTAAAGTAATAAAATTGGAATTTTTTCACTTATTTGACTATAGCATTTAATTTAAGTTCAATTACTTAAAACTTGAAATTAATTTAAATTTTAACTATCTTTCATTCAATTATGATTAATTGATGAAAGTTAAACAATAGCAAAAATTGAAGTATTCAAAATTAGACGCACAAAAATACAAAATGGTTTAAATGTTATGAAAAATGAAAATATCATATTTTCTTTCTTTTCATCAAATTGTCATCAATTTAATTTCAAATTAAAATAATTTAATTAAAATTTACTAATACGTTGAGAATTATTAGTTGTAAAATTGCATCCTAAAATCAAATTTTATTAAAATTGAAATTTTAAAAAATTTAAAAGAAAAATATTGCAAACAAAATTGATAGATTTGAAAAATGTTATAAGTGAATATTTGATGCAATTGATTACAGCCAAACTCTTTTCATCATTTTCCCGTATGATCCTTTTAATCCCAAATAATAATCATCCATTAATTCATCCAATTCATCCTAATTTTGTCCAAAACAGGTCATCATCCTTTTCATCTTCTCTTCATCATTGATGATCTCATATCTATGTAAACCATCGATATTATAAATTTCATACAAATTTGAATTGGATGAATTTAAAATTTATTTTTCGAATAAATTACATTATTATAATCTTTTGATCATTTGAAATTCACTAAATAGCTTCAATTATTTTATTTGATAACTATAATCCATTGAATAAGAAACTTTTAAAACTTCATCAATATCTTTTAGTTACCAACAAATTATTACTTTTTACCTTCAGCTCTAATTCTTCCTACTTTTTCATACCTATTTCTTCCTCTTCCATTCCTAATTTTCTCTACCTCTCTCTCTCTCTCTCTCTCNCT